CAATGTGATCCTTAAAGGTAAAGTTTATTCAGCTACTGAACATAGACATGATCATACAAAGTAAACTACCCACTTAATATCGCAGCTTCTATCCTAATATACCGCGTAAAAATTAGTAACTTTATTTCAATTTTGTTCTAACCTGTCTAAAAAATACTTCTCAACTTCCCCACAAGAATTTTCTCTCACAACTAACGACTAACTAAAATATCTGACAGCGCCTTCGTGAAGATTGAAAGTTCTTTGTATCAGAGAAACACTGTTGGTTTTAATTTTCGCATTACGCATATACAGGTAAGTCTTAATCACAATTGTATAGTAACACAGTATCGGTAGGGAGCTAGGGTGTTAACCCAAAATTTCGAATCCGGGTCAAATCAGTAGAACGTCACTAAGTCCACTCATCTCTGTTGGGTAACTAACGCACGTTGGAGTAAGTAAAGTCGATTGGGTATGGTGCTGACCACAATATCTTTTTATATTCCGAGGTCCTCGAAACTACCTTAACTGCCTCTTGAGTCTTGGACACAAACGAAGAAAGGTGATGTTGATGGATTATGTATAAAAACATTTAATGTCAGGCAATACTTTTTTTTCGTATTAGATACGAAATGAAAAGAAAAGCATGCAAGGCTTAGACCTTCTGAACTTATACAGTTACTGATGACTTGCACAATTGAAACAGCCTCAGGGAACAGTGAAGCTTTCAATGCTGGGCATTCTACAAAGTAAAAAGTTCCAATATAAGAATTAAGCTTATATAGGCCTATTATTCTTGAAAAATCTTTAGTATTTGTTTTGGATTTCTCTTGTAGACTTAACAAGTAATTTAATCAACAAAGAACCATGACTAGATTCAACAAGTAATTTGATAAAAAATGAAAAATGAATTTATTTTGTAACAGGTATGATTGTTTAGATAAGGACAAGCTTAAACTATACATAATTAACTTTACAATAGCTTTAAGGATATGATAAGGATAGAGTTACAAATATATTGACGGTTGCGAATATTGATAGAGTTAGATATCCCTAAAAGATAAGAAACATGATTAGGAATTTACTTTGAGTAAGCTATTACTATACTAAATATTTTGTGTTAAAAATCATCTAGAAAGTAAAAAGACACAAAGGAAAGTGTAGGTCAATGCTCATGGGGCTTAATGGCTCCTGATTCATTGATCTTTGGGATAATTGCGAACGTAAGTTAGGTACTTGTCAGGTACGCCATACGGACGTTAGCCTGTTTCCCAAACTCAAGATTTTGGGGCTTTCATTCATGGACACTACCGTCCTGTCATGCTACCCCATTGTAGTACTATCAACTCATTGATATTTCTCGATACTTGCAATAATGTTATGTTTTACGTTTTTTTTTATTTCCCATGTCCTAAAACAGCAGATTGGCCATGTCCTAAAACAGTAGGTTGGCCATGTCCTAATACAGCAGGATGGCCATGTCCTAAAACAGTTGGTTGGCCATGTCCTTAAACAGCAGGTCGTTGGCCATGTCCTAAAAACATCAGGTTGGCCATGTCCTAAAACAGTAGTTTGGCCATGTCCTAAAACAGTTTGTTGGCCATGTCCTAAAACAGCAAGCTGGCCATGTACTAAACAGTAGGTTGGCCAAGTCCTAAAATAGCATGTTGACCATGTCCTAAAACAGTACATCTCGTTGATCGAGTCTATCAAGTGTTCTGGTACTCGACTAGTTTCTAACACTGACACAGGAGACAGCTTCCAGCGAAATACTTATTAAATTTACACAAGAAAATCGAGAAGGTAGATTAGACTTACTCATCTAAGTTCCAATGATCTAGTTTAAATTAATAGGCATGCTGTAAAGTGGGGTCATCTGGTAGAACTTATAATTATTCTAATGTGAGCCCCACAAACGGCAACAAGGCCAAAATATTTCTCTTTTGACTACCTATAGTGGCTAAAACACGTCAACATTTTCTTACTTTTAGCTGAAACAAAAGATACCAATCAGTCTAAGCTTCAAATATTTTTATTTCTCTAATATTGACGATAGATAACCTTTAAACTTTTTCTAGTCTAGATGTTACATCTATTTGCAAGCTACAGATTGACGTCAACTAAATATAACATTTTTCTCTTGTACATAACTTTCTGCTCTTTGCCATCACGGACTTGACTTTTCCTCGGTTTAATTTGTGTATATGTATAGGGATAACAAAGCTAGTTATTTACTTGTTTTATAATACTTGATCACAATATGTTATTGAAAAGCGTTTATGTTATTTTGTCATTACCTTTTAAAATACAGCCGATGTAAATGTGTAATAAATGTCATCATTGCTTTTTGTATTTTTATTTTTAATTTTTTTTTTATTTTGCACCAGGTCTTATTTCTGCAATAAGCGACAAAGCTCATTATAAAAAAAAGATTTTTAAAATAAAGTTTAAAAACTACCTTTAAAAGCTGCTAAAATTACCAACCTCAAGCTGTGAAGTGCTTAAAGTAGAATGTTTTGCACCAGTAAGTTATTTTCATCCAACGATGTAAACAGGTTTGAGATAATGTTATGACTCCCAAGTTTTAAACCCTCATTTACTCCAAAGTGGTTTTTTTGCCTTGGCTAATACACTTAACGTTTTCTGGTTTTTGCGTTCATTTTTCCGTCACACGTTTCCCAAACTAATTTCACGCATAATCACCAACTAATTCTTAAGCAGAACCTATTTTTAAATTAGCTTTTACATTTTTTGTGTAGCCGAAATATGTTAGTTTTGGGAAAAAACGGAACGGTAAAAAAAGTTAAAAAGTTTATGTGAAAAAAATTATACATCTAAAAGTGTCCCAGCGTTTAGCTCTTTGCAGGGTTAATATTTTTAGAAATTATTTCGAAGTTAAAAATAAATCCAAATTTACCCCTTTTAGCTTATTGACGTCAGCAGGATAGTGTTGAAAAAAAGAAGAAAACAAAATGACTATAAAAACCAGCCCACGTTTTTGAATCGTTAGTTGAGATTGCAGTCGTCAAAGTGAAGTTGGCTTTTTTTTTTAAATATTGAGTTTATTTATTTATTTAGAATAATTGGACATTGCTACCACAATGATTTTCCCAGTGTTGTTCATGTTCATCTCTGTGAATATTATTTCTAGTACTGGTAAGATTCAATTGCTATTTTTTTAATTTAACAGTAATAAAGGTAATTATCAATTACATTCATGAGTACACAAGATTCAAATACGTGAAAACAAACATCTCTGAATCTAGAAAACAAAAACATTTTTCTAAAATGTAAATCGTCATATTTACTTCGTGGCATACAAAGTATTGAGAACGTGCAAAAATAAATAAAATAAATTGATACTTTAGCATCTCACTTAGTCAGAAAAAGACAGTTGTTTTTTTTAATTTTGTCTGTTTGTCTGTGTATCTGATGTAAACACGATAACTTGAGTACCGCTTCAAATTTGTTAACAAATTTCATATATAAGAATTTTATCATATTTGTAGTTTTGGATCAAAGTTTGAGCGTTTTCCGGAACCGAATGTTGCACTTACTACACTTCAGATTTCTTAAGTATCCTTCAAATTGTGTTCGTTTTATAAGAAAACGGATGGAGTACTTTACTCTGTTTTCATGTAAACACTATAACTTGAGTACCGTTTCAGTTAGGTAGATGAATATACATGTATGAGTATAAATAGTACACTTGAATCTCTAACAATTTTTAAGTAAACTCCAATAACCAGAAGTTTTACTTTCGTCTATTTCTGTTTAAAAAATAATGATAACTTTCGTTACCGTTTCATTTTATTGATAAAATTGAAAAAGTAGATTGATGCTATAAAGTCTTGAATGATTTCAGGTGAACATAAGTATTACTTCACGCTTTTTCCTTACCGATTTATCGAAAATCTTTCACAACAGTAGATAATCGATGACACAACATCATGAATTTGGCTGAATTAGATGTATAATTAACTTTAAAAGAGTTAAGCTGTGTTTCCTCTATAAAAACTCAAATTCTTGGCTCTATTATACACGCGTAATTTGTGTTTATTTTCGAGCGCAATTTTTTTTCTATTCGATTCCATTCTGTTTTCAAAATGTAATTTACAAGAAAGTTTAGGGGAAATCACCACTCCCGGTTTATTAATTCGCATTGCTGTTCAGACCTTTTGAATAAAATAATTGTTGACATGTTGAACTTAAATATTAACACATCTAATTTAAAATTTAATTTTAAATTTTCGATATGCTCTATTTCATAGGTGTACATCTCCATTTAGCATACTAATGTAATGGCATTTATAAATTTACCCAGCCTTTTCTCACTTCTCACTAGTACTTGTATCTTTAGGCTTGTGGCTCCATCCAGAGTATTGGACGCAAGTAAAATACAGCCAAGCATACCGACCCTGAGGCTCAGTATCTATTTGTCCCTCGTTACAGCACATCTTTTTGACTTTTGTCTCCACACTATCAGGAAACCAGCATCCAGCATCACCAGACAGGTCTTTTTATAGAACTGACATAGCAAAATTAAACAAAAACGTTCATCCCAGAAATACTCAGAGACTGGAACTACTTAAAATACTTAAAATACCTAGCTCTACGTTTCCAAACACCACATAAACACTTCAACACACAGACCTTGACCTCGACATTCCCACAGAATGTCCCTCACTGTCCACACACCCTATTCACGAAATAAAAACCAACACTAAGCACATGAAAATAGTCCCTAATACAACAATAACTAACATTCACGACATAAAACTAAGTGAAACTACACACACCAAAACAAATTTTGCATAAATAATATCAAAATATAAACAAGACAAAGCAACTATAAACTATTTTAAACTCAAAATCATATCAGCGGCAAAAAAGCGGACTACTTAAATAAAAACCACAACAATCCTCAACAGGAACACTAAAAGCGACATTCACCATTTGTAATAAAATAATTAAATAACTCCCCAGCTCCTTACATTAATGTAGTTTTTTTATATTTTCAGGTGTACAGATAGACATGAATAGAGAATATTTTTACCACGGCAAGGATTTATTTTGTGCACAACTCCAGTGTACAGAAAACATAAAAGGAGACACTCAGATATCAGCTCTTGTCAACATGTCAGTCTATAGGATCAGTGAACCAGAGGGGAGGATTTTGGTGGCGTCTATTTCAGAATCAGATTCAAAGCTTCAAGATTACAAAAGGGCTGGTACAAGAGTAGATGGAAAAATATCGAAAACATTTTCTGAATTGGAAATCTTTTTCTCGAATCATTCAGATTGAATTGTTGGCATTTTTCTATGTGAAATACATTATGTGAATACAACAGGATCTGTGGATAGAACTGGGAAACAGACGGAGATTTTACAAAGAAAATCACGTGACACATTTCTAATGATGAATTTAAAAGCTAAAACTTCAGACTATGTTAAATCTGTTGACACAATGGCCGATTTTCTCAAATCGTTTGAAGACCCAGACAGACTGAAAGGTGCAGACATGACAATGTCATTACAGATGTCACATTCTGGTGGCGATAAGTTCAGCACAGACCAAAATTTTAATCCAACAGATAACAATTATAAACAGATAAGTTCATCTACCCTTGATGATAAAATGATGGATGATAAAATAAAGAATTTAACTCTTGATGTAAACGAAACTTTACATATTATGGAAAACAGACTCAGTTCAAAAATTGATTTGAATAAAAATAGTTTTGCTGTTTTAAACGAATCATTGCAAACAAAGTTAGCCAACACACAGAACCAAACAGAAGAACTCAGTATCAGATTAAATGAGATGAAAAATAAAATGAAGGAAGAGCATATTAATACAGCATTAAATTTGGTAGCCGGTCTCAACAAAACTCTACACGAATTTAAAGACGAGTACAGCCGCCACCGTTTGATTTTAAAATTTACAAAACAGGTAAATTATTCTTCAAAAAAGTGTCCGTTTCTTTGTTCTTGTGTTTACCTAGCTTGTTAGTTTAAACAGATTTGTTTTAATTGAAAGAAACAAGTAAGCAACTTTGTGAGCTATATTTAAATTTCAAACACATAAAAGTGTTTAAACAGAGAATAATGTTAAAATAAATTTTTCCGTATTTCAAATATGCATTTGCTTTGTATGTACTAATATATTACAATATACGACTAGGTAGGATGTAAAACATATTTTTCGAAGAAATGAAAAGACTGGATTTAAAATATTTAATTTATATCTGAGATTGTTTAAAAATCAGATATTAATTTCTCTATATCCAGTGTGTCAGGAACGACAACTCAAGTCTACCAGAACAAATGATACTCCAACTAAATGAAAACAAACTCGCCTTGTGTGATACCAAAACTGACGGTGGAGAATGGATTGTTATACAGGTAATGAAAGCTTTTATCATTTTAAAATCCATGTCAACTATTAGCTCCTAAAAGGGTAGAAAAAAAAATTAAAAGCTGATTTTATACTGCAGTTTTTAATTATAAACAGTCTAAGTTATGAAATTTAATAGCTGCAAACATTTAAATACTGATTTATGTGTTTCCTACCTTGATTGTTGAATTACTTGTAAAACGTTTACCATTAAGATACAGTGACCGGCAAATACCACTTTCTAGCTTTTCCTAGTAAAATCTTTAGAATTTATACTACATTGATAAGTCGATAAACGCTACCACATATGAAAGAAACCAAGGAAAGATTGTTTAACCGTAATAGTGACTTATCAAGTAATACCGATAATTTTTTGATTGCTTGTTTCATAACAAGTCTTAATACTGTCTTGACCTCCGCCGAAGCTCTGAGACTTACTTACCAAACCTTATGGGTTCGATCGAACCCAGGTTAAGAATAGCTGCTTTAAACTCTTTTGATTTTTTTCTATTCGTTTCGGTATTCTAAAGAGCATGGGCTTAGGCAACACTTCTTCATTTCACATGAATTTTATGAAGATAAAACCCTAATTATCCCAGCCATCCCAATATATATTTCAAACGATTTCCTTCATGAACAATAGTTTGTACCTCATTTTACCTAAATATACTATTTGTTCGAGTGCGTCATCAAAATCCATAATATGATATCTCATGATATGTTAAGTAAGTTTTCTGCTAAAATATGTGAACATCTGATTTTTTCCAAAGTTATTAGATTATTCTTGTGTGTGGACAGTTATTAGATTGGCTTATAAAAGCAAGTGTTTCCGTTATTTTTAAATTGCTTCCATTGTAATTACTTTCATATTTCTGTAATGTTTTAGTATGTAAAATAATTCTATTTGTCTGATTAACCTAAACAATTGTGTTTCATTTTATATTTTCTAGTATCTGCCATTATTTGTTATTTCCTTTTGACTAAGCTGTCAATACTTACAAATCTGCAAAACTATTTAATAGTGGGGATAAATAGAAAACATAAGTCTATTTTAAAATTTTAAAGTTGAGGTTGCAATTGTCAAACGTACTTAGATTAATTTAAATATTTTCGTGTTTTAACTTGTTTCAGAGACGTTTTAAGGGTGATGTAAATTTCAGCAGAAACTGGAGCGACTACAAAAATGGTTTTGGATCTTTGGATGGAGATTATTGGCTGGGAAATGACTGGATCTCAAACCTCACACAAAACGTAATTTGAAATTTCAATTTTAACTTAATTAAAGTTTGTCTTCTACAAATAGCATTCTACAAATATAACTAATAATAAACCGGGAGTGATCTCCTCTAAACTTTCTCAAATATTCTTATATGAAAAAAAAAGGAATGGCAACTCGGGATATAGACATCACTTTTAATCCAGTTTAAATACTTAAACTTTTTAAAATAGAATAAAATCTCGTAGAAAAAAGAATTGCACACCAAGTGAACGCTGTATTAAATGTGCAAAATAGTGCGGAATATTATTAGTACTTTACAAATTCCCATGCGTTTTTTTTTTGAGAAATCGGAAATAGCGAAAATTACTACTTCCGATTAACGGAAATTACTCAACATTTGATAGAAGGCAGAGAATTAGATATTTACTTATATGTGAAATTTCTTTTATCCATCTGAAATAGTACTCAAGTTATAGGCTTTTAAAAAAATTGAAAATAGAAAAAGTTCCACTTCCGGTTATCGGAAATTGCTCAAAAATGAAACGGATTTATGATTTTAATAAAATTCTTATATATGAAATTTCATCAACCTAGCTGTAACGGTTTTCAAGTTATCGTGTTTACGCACACACAGACATACGGACAGAATTGGATAATTCAGTTTTTCCAACTCTATTACACATAAAACGCCAAAATTTTTATACATCTTGATTTACAATTTTTGACCGATTTAAATATGTCCTCTATATCCTTGATGTGACGAAGGACTGAGGAGTAAAACGGTGAAAACTGTCCAAATTTAATGTGATTTTCGTGCACGATTACAAGACTTTCTCTATACTTCGTATATACGAGAAAGTAAAAAAGTAGTGTTAAATAACAGTTATACGTATTACATTTTTTTATGAATAACTGTTGTCGTAATGTCTTCTCTTCACTGCCATGTATGACACTTTCTCGGCCTTTCTTTCACCACTACCAGTCTATCACCCAGCATTCACTAAAGTGCATTGTTGACCAATTGCGCAAGTGAATCACCTGTAGTGCCATTTAAAAGAGTATTAATACAAAAATTCATAATTTACTATACTCAAACAGTACCTAACCCTTAAAGTACATTTAACGTTTCACTCGTAGAGGCCCACTGGGTGGATAAAATAGAGTTGATCAGTTTCTGTGTCATACATCATATAAACAAACAGCGTGAACAGTTCTATGATTAGCTTCTACTAATTTTCCTATTGACACAATACTTAAATTGCTAAGAAGTCTAATGTTTTGTAACAGACACGTTCATAAAATAATATATGATAATGTTGATTATTAAAGATGTAAACAGATTTGATAACCGATGGTAGGGAAAGAGAAATACTTAACATTAAAAGCCGAAAACTTGTAATATTTTTATAGAAAAACTGTAGATACAACTGTAAATAGATACCACTGTTTCTTAACTATACTAAATGATTTACAGTAGTAATCACTTTAAGCTTTATGCGGAACTTAATTATACATTTATAAATTATATGTTTACAGGGCTACAGTGAACTGAGGTTTGACATGAAATATAAAGGTAAATCCTACTACATGGTTTACAGTAATGTGACGGTAGGAAGTGAAGCAGATTTGTACAGGATAAAGTTTACATACAAGACAGGCAACGCTACAGACAACTTAAGTGAACACAATGGAATGGCTTTTTCTACTTTAGATAGAGACAATGATAGATGGTCTGATAACTGTGCTGAGAGATGGAAAGGCGGCTGGTGGTATAACGCATGTCATAATGTCGACATAAACGGTGTATGGGCGAGTAAAGCTGAGGGTGAAGGCATTATCTGGGCCGGTATAACAGGCTACAGAGATTCTCTGGAGCTTGTGGAGATGAAACTACGACGGCCGTGATCATAAAAGATAACACAAAAACAGAACCTTGTGTTATTACCGACTGATGCATGTCAAATTTAAATTATTTCGCCAAATGTACAAATACTGCTTACATGTATATAAATGTTATTTTATTTTTAATATAAAAACTATTGCTTAGTGTTTAAGTTGAAATGAAACAATAAAAAAACTGCTTTCCCTTAACTAATGACGTCTGTCTACGGCTGAATGAAAGTCTCTGTTGACTAGATGTTTGTTTCTGCAGAGATCCGTTGTGTATCGTATCAATGAATGTTTGATAAAATTGTAATTCTTAATTGGAAGAAAGTAATGATTTTCGTGAATTTAATAATAGTGACATTAAATAGTTATTACGTTTAGTGTAATGAACATAACAGAAATGATCAAAGAGAGGATCATTTATTTACACCACCAGTTCCCAAAAGTTTTTGGGTGGCAATTCTCCTTTATAAAAACAAAATGAACAGAGACGCCGATACAATTAAAATAAACATTATCGTATTATCTAACACAACAGTTTGAGCTAACATAGGAAAGTATAATTGGACTATGGAAATATAGAAGCTACTGAAAAAGCCTCTCGTTTTTTTAGAGAAGAAATAGAGGCAAAACGTTCTTAGAATATGCATCCTTGTGATAGGATAATATACGACTATCAACTTCTGAAGGTTTTTGAGAAATAGGAAAAAAAGAAAAACACCGGTCCCAGACATCGAAGGTCAATTAAAAATTTAAGTTATCTAGGGCTATAAGATATTGTACTTTATATTTGTTGCGTCTTTCTAAATGAAACAGTAATTAGTTCTTTCTTTGCCCCCCAAAAAATAAATTATTTCTTGCAGTTACTCGAAATCGTTTAAATGTTAAAAATTACCTGTATATACAATTTAATATTTATAATTGAAATTTCGTCTGCATAATTTAAAATACAATAAATACCACTGTTCGGTTAACGGATATCGCTCGAAAGTTTGTTAGAAACTTATTATTAGATTTAATACTCGTATTATAATCTCCATGCACCTAACTCATGTAGTGCTCAGATTACCGGGTTCTCAAGCACACACAAAAACACACAGACAGAAAAAAAGAAAAACCTAAAGATGAGATTACAAATTTAATAATTTCAGGTAAGTGAACATTTTGATTCCAGTTTTTACACAATACACAATTACAATACTATCTCTATACACTGTATACAAAACGAAAAAAAAACAATTTTAAATAAAATATCTCGCGCATCTTGGTCAAATAAGGTACTTTTATTTCCATGTATTTTTTTATGTATTAAAAAAATAAAACATTTTTTCTGTTGTATTTTTTTAAAACCTGTTACATTAAAAAAAATTAAATATTTAAAAATATGACTATGTTTTTTTTTAAAACAGTAAGTGATTATCTCACAATTATCAATGTTTATCGTTATACACCTCAGTAACTCAATTCACGTATGGTACAATATATTGAACAAACTGAAAATTTTAGTAAAAGAAGTTAGACACACTTTGTGACTTGCCGATCAATTTGACATATGAAATAGAGTTAAACTGTTTTTGTGACCACAGTACATAAAGCTATAATGTGTTCACCTTTACTTTCACGAACGAAAGTCGGGTACTTAACACATGTGGTTGGAGTCAAGGGCAATATACGGACTTTAGCCTATTTCCCGAACTCAAGACATTCGAGCTTCAGTACGTGCGCTCTACCGTCCTACCATACCGTCCCCTTGCAGTACTATCGACTCATTGATATTTTTTAAAACCTGCAATAATGTTTGTGTTTTATCATTCTCTTTGTATTTTCCAGTGTCGTTTAAATATTTCAAAACTTAATTCATTTTATGCTTCTTATTTCCATAAAACAATAAAAGCACGTTATAAAATAATGGTTTGTTTGAAATTGTGGCTTCTGTGTAGTCGTAAAACTTCTCTGTAGTCGTGTAGTCTCTTTGTAACTTTGTAGCGTCTGTGTTGTCTTGTAGTTTCAGCGTAGTCTTGTAACTTCCGTGTAGTCTTGTAACTTCCGTGTAGCCTTGTAACTTCCGTGTAGTCTTGTAACTTCCGTGTAGTCTTGTAACTTCCGTGTAGTCTTGTAACTTCCGTGTAGCCTTGTAACTTCCGTGTAGTCTTGTAACTTCCGTGTAGTCTTGTAACTTCTGTGTAGCCTTGTAACTTCCGTGTAGTCTTGTAACTTCCGTGTAGTCTTGTAACTTCCGTGTAGTCTTGTAACTTCTGTGTAGTATTGTAACTTCTGTATAATCTTGTACCTTCTGTGTACTCACGTGGCTTCTGTGTAGTCTTGTAGCTTCTGTGTAGTCTTGTAGCTTCTGAGTAGTCTTCTGGCTTCTGTGTAGTCGTGTAGTCTCCTTGTAGACTTATAACTTCTGTATAGACTTGCATCTTCTGTGTAGTCGCTGGGATATATCTTCTACTGCAAGGATTTTTGGAAATCTGTAAAGACAATTTGTTGACTTGACACTCCAAAAAACGTATACACCTTAATTTAACACACCGACTATTTATTCTTGCTTATGGGATACAAAGTGATTTTTAAAATTTATTTTACATTTTATCAAACAAGAAAAATCAAATCAAAATTTAAGAAATTTTAGACATCTAAATATTATCTCAACAATTTAGGCCTCTGAATAGCATTTACAACTAGTGCTGGAGTCTTTACCTGGTTTGGCCCTATCAGAGGGGAAACGACCTGTAAGCGGACGGGTGACCAGCGCTTGGCTGCCGCTATTTGGCCAGACAAACAATTCAAATAAAATACTGAAACTAGTCCGTAGACTGACCATCGCGGTCAGGCCAGAGCTGTGATTTATGACCGTGAGAAATCTAGAGTCCGGCCAACCAGACCGCTTTTGTGAGGCTGGGTAAAGTGACGTTCAGTAGTTTAGGAATTGAAAATATTTCAGACCAAAGGAGACTTTAATTAGAGGTCAAACGGTAGAAGGTAAGTAAAAGTAACGTTTCCTTTCAAACCCAACGATGTATGGTGAAGTAAAGTTCACTTATTTATGTGACCTCGGCATATGAAGGGAAAGTGTGGTCAGCACTGTGAGCAGCCGCCTTTACTTTCCCTAACGTGAGTTAGATACCCACCAGACCTGGGTGGACTCAGTTACAGTCTACTGACATGCACCCGAATCCGAACAGACTTACGGGTTAGCAGTCCAGCTCTCTACCGCTAGACCACTCCGTCCCTCTCGTGGACTCTGCTATTTGAGGTCAGTGGACGGACTGATCAAGACAGTACAGCTTTAGTAGACAGGGGCGTACCTCGTGAGCTGGGGGAGCCCATGGGATGTCTGTAGAGTTAGACTAGAATTTACCGTTAGGGACAAATAAGGTAGTTACATAAAGGTTTTTGTATTTTATTATTCTGCTTAATGTGTTAGATGTTGTGGATGTATTAATTATAGTTGTATTTTTTATCGTGGCAGTTAAGTGTAGAAAAAGTTGCTAATTGTGTTTATTTATTATTTGTTATTGTTCTTTTTTACGAATTTTCAACCTTGTTCGAAAGGAGAAGACAAAGGGGACGTAACAATATATAATATTATCTATACATTATTTTTTTTACATCCCTTTAATAAGGGAAGCATCTCAAATAAATTTTAATATAGAGAAATAAATAATTTTGTGTTTAAATGTGTTCATGGTATTCACCAGTCTATTATCAGCGCTACACTCAGGTATCCGCCATATTTTAAGTCTAGGGAAACTGCCTAAATGAACAACGAAGATACGAAATCAGATGACACAGCTTTCGACAGCCATATTGGAAAAGATGCGATTGCTTGGCTACAATGAGAGATATTTAAAAAAAAACGTTAGCAGTTTATTGAGAGATTATTTATTTAGTCGTGCGACTGATCTATGGGGTTGGGGCATTGAAATGGATAATTGATAAGTAATGTTGTAGTATATAATCAGTTTAAGTGTAAAGCTATTACCGTAAACAGCATAGGTTATGCACCTATGGGCAAAGTCCCGCTGTGGTCCAAGACCTAATGGTTAGAGCCCCTTTGGTCAAAGTACCTATAGTCAAAGCCGTTTATTTCTAACAGCTAGCTTTAGTGTTTTCAACTAAGGTTCATATTAAAACATGGATCTCTCAAAATGTTGTGTTAGTAATCAAAAATAGTCTTCTACATTTAATAAAATTGAAAAAAAAATCCAAATATTAAAATGTGTCATTTAGTAGGCCTACAGTATATATTGACTATTCTTGATAAACTGATTACTTTTAAGCAAATCAAACGGATGTATTCGTTACCGTTTTATTTTTAAGTTCTGCATGTTAAATGTTGTCAATATCGATCTCGATTCCTAAGCTTTTAAGGGGCATAACACGTACAATGAAAATGTTTTTCTTCACTTTATTGGTTGTCTCCCTGGTGTATTTATATTTTTTTTTGTTTTAATGGAACCCGATTTCAAATTAAAAAAATGTCAATTTTACTGCTTAGAAAATAGGTATACCAAAATTTGAACCTGCCAACTGATCAATTCTTTTACAAACATTTCAGAATCTGTTTTGTTTTAGGCAACAGTTTTATAAGTAAAATAAAATTTCAATAGTCTACCACCATTCCATATTTTCTTTGAGGCACCATTGAGGTGTATAATTAGTAGAATAGAATAGTTTACTGGCGTTAAAGGATAAACAAAAATTGATGCTAAGGTATCTGATACTCAACGGCCTATAATTAAATTAGGCCCTACAAGTTACAACAAACTACAAGAGGAGGATAAGTGTACTTTTAATAGAATTAACATATATTTCGTAATAATGGTATAATAATTACTCGAATTACAAAATTGTTGCAGTAAAAAAATGACTTAACTCAAATATAAAACCAAGAGCAAGTAGGAGTAGGTCAGCTGTAAGAGCAGACTATATGTGCATTTATTAGATGTAACAAATACTTGGCAATATTGGTATATTATAAATTACATGATTACAAAATAGTTACAGTAATTAAAATAGAATGAGTAAAATACAAAACCAAGAGCACGAGGGAGTAGGAGCTGTTATGATAGATTATAAATATCTATCTCCCCCCTTCTTGCTACCCCACAGGTAACGGTACACACCTGGACCTGAGTCCAGCGGTATTGTAAGGCTGACCGGGCCTCGACCTCAGACTGCGGTCGTGAGGGCGGAGCCTGAGTCATGTGACCTGTAGGGTAGGGACGCTACAGTCCGGTCACTCTACCTTCTCCCCTCTTCGGAGGTACACGTTTATTTTGGTGCTTAGGCACTAGCCATTATTACATTATAATTATTTTGGTGCTACGGCACTTGTTCTCCACGGAGAAATTAAACGTACGTTTGGCAACGTGTGTAGAGGATTGTGTGGCTTCTTTGGAACGTAATTAACACTTACTTTTATTAGCTGTAATGTTATAATATTAATTAATAAGTATGGAGTGAGAATAAAACAATGTATGAATGAAAATCATATTTGTAAGTAATGTTTATTGTAGGCCTTTTGGAAGGCTAATGTAAATGTATTATCTTGGTAACAGTTGTAAACTTGTATGTGTCTGAATGAATGTGTATATCACACATATGTTAGGAAGTTTGTCACATGTATTTTACAGCCGGCCAGCTTGGGGCTAAAACTTAGTACAGAGGTCTGTGTGTGAGGAAGTGTGACCACGCCGCCCTGAAGACCAGTCGCCCCTTCCAGGCTACGTTAAATTGTATCATTATTCCTATGCCAATAATTAATGTATTAATAAAAGTTAAAGGATTGTGAAACTGAGTTAATTACTCAATCATAATTTTAACCCTTTTCACTGAGCCAAATATCGGCAATCATTAATAAACGCAATATTACTATTAAGGGACCTCTTGTCCAACGAGACAAACCCTAGACTAAACAGGTCATTCTGTAGCTGCGGCTATATTTATTTATGTGCGGTATGACTCGCTAGAGCATATTTGCCACACTCCGCGTAGGAAAGCCACGAAGAAGAGAAAATATTTTGGTTGCATCCCCTTTCATGCATCAATGTTGCGTTGAGTCACGTGGACAATCTAGACACTAGAGAATAACTTGGTTGGGGGAGGGTGGAGAGGATAGGAAGGTATGTAGCTGGCTGGTAAACAAGATGGCGGTACTTTATAGAATGGCACGCAGTTTTTATGAGATAAACAAAAAATTATCCATATCATATGGAAAGGATGTTTTTAAAATAAATCCCAAGATTTAAAATAGTCAGCAAGCCCATGCTGAGATGTGCTTAAAATAGAATGTCTATCCCAGTCAGTTATTTTTATCAACTATGTAAACAGGTTTGAAGAATACACGATGATAACCTGTACATTTAAACCCCACATTCCATAAAAATTGTTTCCCTGTGTTCATGCGATCGATGTGAATATCTGTTTTCAACTTTACCTGCTCTATTTTCGTCTGAATTAATATCTGTTTTTTCGGTTTACATGCTCATTTTTTTGCGACCGTTAATTTCGTCATCACATTCATCACTTTTTATCTAGTCTAGAGTATTTTCGTCGCATCATTTTCTCATGGAAATTCTAACTCAATTTAGAAGCAGATTTTTTTTTTGTGTGTAGCCGAAAAGTTTTGGCAAAGAAGTCAAAGAAATAAAAAACGTCACTTGAGTAGATAAACGTAGGAAAGTGCACTAGAACTTGGCACATTGCTGTCTTAATAATTTGGAAAAGAAATCTCAATTTAGAAAATCAATTTGATTTACCCTCTCTTAACGTCAGTTAGATAAAAATGCAAAAAGGATACCTGGATATTCCTATTTAAACCAGCCCGCATTTCTGTTTCGTTAGTTGAGATTCACGTCGATAGAGTAAAGTTTTGTGTTTTGGTGACTTCTTAATTTTTTAATCAATAAAACATCACTGTCACAATGATATTCCCTGTGGTGTACATGTTCCTCTCAATAAATATTATTTCAAGTACAGGTAAGACTTTTTATCTGATATAATTGTAAGATTTTCAAATGATTTAATCTATTAGTAAAATTGTTTAATTATAATCAATTTTTTAGTTATTGGTTTTAATTTCCCAATAATTTCAAAAAAGTTCGTGTCGGAAAAAGTTATTAGAACTAAAACGCAATTTAAAAAATAATGTGTTTATTTCATATAAGCTGTACCGAAAAAAGTGTTTTTGTTTAAACGTAGTTTTAAAGAAAATTGTCATAATAAAAACAATCTACTTACGTAAAACCAGTGACAAATGATTTTCATGAATTTCTTTTCGCGTGTTGAATATTTTACGTTTTCAAATGACAAAATACAAATTATTTGGCACATATAATCGGATCAAACCACTACATAATCTTCCCAGATATTAATAACCCACCTGATACCAATATCCGTTTTAGATACCAATAACCCTTTCATATACCAATAACCCTTTCAGATACCAATAATCCTTTCTCGATACCAATAAACTTTGCAACCGTTACTTCAAATAATTTAAGCTACGTAAGAGGCATAAAGCTTCACTAGACTCAAGGTTCTTGTGCCTCTAACTGTTCCCTGTAAAAGCCCTATTTAATCCTGTCTCTCATTTCCTGATCCTGATATTTCTGGTCAACTTTTTGCTCTTTGGGTTCAATATGAGAATCTTTCGACTGAGATCGGATGCTGGATCCATATAAAAATCTATAGGCTGATGATAGATGTTATACTCCTTAAAGTGCTTACAGTATATCCCACTTTTAAAAATCTGTTTAATTTAAACAGCTTGGTGGTCAAACCGCCCGTCCAGATCTTAATTTAAGGAGGTAAATGGCATTCCAACTATCTACTTCTGTTCTACAATCGTGCATTTAGGAATTTTGTACATGTCCGTGTGCTTCTGGCAATAGATCTTCCGGTCAAAGCTCTAAAAATATGTTTAGCTTTATCATAGTGTTTGAAATTCTTCCATTCATGATAGCCATAATTCAATGATAAAAAGCTTATCTAGTCTAGCCATCAGCAAGACATAGACTGCATTCCACTTTAATTTATTTTCTTCAATTCTTATTTACCAGTCATCGAATTATATTATTTTTGTAGCAGCGGCAAGCGATGGCAAGAAATATATTTCAGCTAAGACGGCCTTTAAGCAAATTCAAATTATTTTAAGTAATTGACTCTAAGAAATGGGCACGTGTTTTGTTTATTTCCAGGTCTAAAGATTGACATGAACAGAGAATATTTTTACCATGGCAGGGATTTATTTTGTGCACAACTCCAGTGTACAGAAAACATAAGAGAAGACACTCAGATATCAGCTCTTGTCAACATGTCAGTCTATAGGATCAGTGAACCCGAGGGGCAGATTTTGGTGGCGTCTTTTTCAGAATCAGATTCAAAGCTTCAAGATTATAAAATGACTGGAACAAGAGTAGATGGGAAAATATCGAAAACATTTTCAGAATTGGAAGTTTTTTTAGCAAATAGTTCAGACTGCAATGATGGCATTTTCCTATGTGAAATACATTATGTAAATACAACAGGATCTATTGATAGAATTGAGAAACATACGGAGAGTTTTCCAAGAAAATCAAGTGCCACATTTCTAATGATGAATTTGAAAGCTAAAACTTCTAACTATGTTAAATCTGTTGACACCATGGCTGATTTTCTCAAATCTTTTGAAGACCCAGGCAGACTGAAAGGTGCAGACATGACAATGTCATTACAGATGTCACATTTTGGTGGCGATAAGTTCAGCACAGATAAAAGTTTTGGTCAAACAGATGCAGATTTAAGTAACAGTTATAAACAGATCAGTTCTTCTACACTCGAGGACATGATGGGTGATAGGATAAGGAATTTAACTCTTGATGTGAACAAAACATTACAGATGATGAGTTTGAAGACAGAGTTAAATAAAAATAGTTTGGCTAATTTAAACGAATCAATGCAAACAATGTTAGCCAACACCCAGAACCAAACAGAACAAATTATTATAAGATTCAATGAGCTGGAAACGAAAATAGAGAAAACTATCACACAAGAGAATATCAATACAACATTAAATTTGGTAGCCGGTCTCAACAAAACTCTACAAGAATTGCAAGACCAGTACAACCGCGAAGCATTGTTTACAAAACAGGTAAATTATTCTTCAGGAAAGTTTACGTTATATTTTGTTCTTGTGTTGATCTTGCATTTTAGGTTAAACCATTTTGTCAATTGAAAGAAGCAAGAGTACTACTGTACGAACTGAGCTTTCAGTTAACACACTTAAACGTTTTCAATAGAAAAAAAATCAATAAATTAAATTATTCCCATTGAAAAATGCACAGGTTTCGTATATACTATTATTAAGCTTTATACTTCTAGGCCGGATGCTTTACGTATTTTTAATTATTTTTTTTACCAATTGAAAAGTGTACATTTATTTGCCAACATATTAAAACAAAATATTAATGTCTCTATATCCAGTGTGTTAGGAACGAAAAATTAAGTCTACCAGAACAAATGATAGTCCAACTAAATGAAAACAAACTTGCCTTGTGTGATACCAAAACAGACGGTGGTGGGTGGATTGTTATACAGGTAATGAAAGCTTTTATCATTTTATAATCCATGTCAACTATTAGCTCCTAAAAGGGTAGAAGAAAAATTTTAAGCTGATTTTATACTGCAGTTTTTAATTATAAACAGTCTAAGTTATGAAATTTAATGGCTAAAAACATTTACATACTGATTTATGTGTTTCCTACCTTGATTGTTGAATTACTTGTAAAACTTTTACCATTAAGATACAGTGACCGGCAAATACCACTTTCCAGCTTTTCCAAGTAAACTCTTTATAATTTATACTACATTTGTGAGTCGATAAACGTTACCAAATATAAAAGGACCCAGGGAAAGATTGTTTAACCGTAAAAAAAGTTAGTGACTTATCAATTATTACCGATGAGTTTTTGATTGCTTGTTTCATAACAAGTCTTAATACTGCAATTTTCATAAAGTTAAGGCAACTAAACCTACAAAACGATGTAAAAAAAAGTACAACACGACGACTGCTAATGATTTGTAATCCACTATTATTGAAATTGTTCTGAAAACACGACCAAAAGTACACCAAATAAACTTGCATCTTTTGCAAACTACACTGTAAAGCAGTGGTTCTTAACCTTTTCGCGGTACCGAACACTACCAGTTTTTTACTTTACCGAACCCTTCTAAAAAATGTTATCGGCCACATTGACAAAAGCTGATCGTATAAACAGTCTTAGTTATGAAATGACTCCCATTAGCCAGACAGGCCTCAGTGTAGCAAACTCCGACACATGGTGGTAATAGCAAGTCGTTTAGTGTCGGTTTGATCGCTACACGTCGGTCGCTTCTCCGTCGGCTCTCACCGGGCTTTCCTTCCCCAGCCAGCAGACGCAGGACGTCGTTCCATCGTGTGGTACCCAGCTTGATCGTGGGGGGCGTTCGGCCAGATCAAAAGCCTCTAGCTGCAGTTAGCTACTATTAGCCATTCCGCACCCTTAGGGGGGTCATAAGCTCAGTCAGACTAATGGCACACTTCCGAAGCCACTAGAAGGCCGCAGCTTAAAGTCAAAATATCTGGTTAGGGTTTGGTTCCCGGCAGTCTTGCACCTCACCTTCCCCACGCTATAATGTAGGGGAATTGGGAGTCCGACATACCAGGCTCTTCGCAACCCTTCTAAAAAATGTGATCGGCCACATTGACAAAAGCTGATCGTGAATGAGTCGGGTGTGTGCCTTGACCTCTACCGAAGCTCTGGGACTTACACAACCTCATAGGTTCGATCGAACCCAGGTTAAAAATAGCTGCTTTAAACTCTTTTGATTTTTTTCTATTCGTTTAGGTTTCCTAAGGAACATGGGCTTAGGCCACATTTCTTCATTTCACTTGATTTTTATGAAGATAAAACCCTAATAATCCCAGCCCTCCCAATCTATATTTCAAACGATTTCCTCCATGAACAATAGTTTGTACCTCATTTTACCTAAATATACTATTTGTTCGGGTGCGTCATCTAAATCCATAATATGATCACTCATGATACGTTAAGTAAGTTTTCTGCTAAAACACGTAAACAACTGTTTTTTTTTAGTTATTAGATTATTCTTGAGTATAGACATTTATTAGATTGGCTTATAAAGCAAGTGTTTCCGTTATTTTAAAATTGCTTTCATTGTATATACTTTCATATTTCTGTAATATTTTAGTATGTCGTATAATTCTTTTTGTCTCATCTAACTACACAATTGTGTTTCACTTTATATTTTTCTAGTATCTGCCATTATTTGCTATTTCCTTTTGACAAAGCTGTCAATACTTACGAATTGGTAAAACTATGCAATAGTGGGGATAAATAGAAAGATATGTCTATTTTAAAATTTTAAAGTTCAGGTTGCAATTTTCAAACAATCTTAGATTAATATAACACATTTTCGTGTTTTAATATTGTTTCAGAGACGTGTAAAAGGTGACGTAGATTTCATTAGAAACTGGAGCGACTACAAAAATGGTTTTGGATCTTTGAATGGAGATTATTGGCTGGGAAATGACTGGATCTCAAACCTAACACAAAACGTACTTTTAAATTTCAGTTTTAACTTAATTAAAGTATGTCTTCTACAAATAGCATTCTACAAATATAACAAATAAAAAGTAGTGTTAAATAACAGTTATACGTATTACATTCTTTTATTAATAACTGTTGTCGTAATGTCTTCTCTTCATTGCCAAATATGACACTTTCTCGGCCTGGCTTTCACACCTATCACCCAGCTTTCACTAAGTTGTATAATTGACCAAAAGCTGAGATATTACACAAGGGAATGGCTAGTAGTGCCATTTAAAAGAGTATTAATGCAAAAATTCACAATTTACTATACTAAAACAGTACCTAACCTGTGAAGTAAATTTAACTATTCATCTGTAGAGGCCAACAGTTCGGATAAATAGAGTTTATCAGATTATGTGTCATACAGCATATAAACAAACAGCGTGAACAGTTCTATGATTAACTACTATTACTTTTGCTATTGACACATTACTTGAATTATTAAGAAGTTTAATGTTTTGTAACAGATCATAAAATAATATATGATAATGTTGAATATTAAAGATGTAAAAATATCTGATTACCGATGGTCGAAAAAAAGAAATACTTAACATTAAAAGCCGAAAACCGGTTGTGATATTGTTATAGATAGACACAACTATAAATAGATACAACTGTTTATTAACTATACTAAATGATTTACAGTGGTAATCACTTTAATAAGCTTTATGCCGAACTTAATTATACATTTATAAATTATATATTTACAGGGCTACAGTGAACTGAGGTTTGACATGAAATATAAAGGTACATCCTACTACATGGTGTACAGTAATGTGACGGTGGGAAGTGAAGCAGAAATGTATAGGATAAAGTTTACGTTCAAGTCTGGCAACGCTACAGACAACTTTACTTGGCACAACGGAATGGCTTTTTCTACTGTAGATAAAGACAATGATGGATATTCTGGAAACTGTGCTGAAAATTTAAAGAGCGGCTGGTGGTATAACGCATGTCATTATGTGAACGTAAACGGTGTATGGGCGAGTAAAACTCCTGGTAAAGGCATTAACTGGAAAAGTATAACAGACAACACAGACTCTCTGGAACAAGTTGTGATCAAACTTCGACGGCCGTGATCATAAAAAAAAAAATAACAGGAAAACAGAACCGTGTATAAACACAGACTGGAGCATAATAAATTAAAAAACTATTTCGACGACTTTTTAAACACTGCTTTACATTGTGTAGATATAACTTTTTTTCAAAAAAACTATTGCTTAGTGTTTAGGTTGAAATTAAACAAACAACAAAGCTGCTTTCCCTTAATTAATGACGCTCTATCGACTGCTAACTGAAATTCTCTTTTTACTAGATGTTTGTTTCTTTACAGATAGGCTGGGTATCGAATCAATGCATGTTTGATAAAATTGTAAATAAATTTCGAAATGTTAATATAACTACAGTTGTTCTACTTTTGTTTGTAAACTGTTTTGTTGTACCAGTTTTAAGTAAATATTAAGGAAATGGGAGAGAACATTTCTGATATTTTCCACACTTATTGCAAATACTGTCAAGACCAATAGTAATAAAGATAATATTTGATTGTTCATTAGAAAAAAATTAAATAATTGTTGTTTAATTAAATAGTTGTTAATTTTAAAATAAAAATTTCCTTTATAGTAACAAACAGGACCGAAATAATCAAAAAGAGGATAAATTATTTATAACTGAGGATCCCAAACGTTTTGGTATGGCGATCCTCCGTGCTAAAAACAATATGAACAGTGACGCCGATACAATTAAAATAAAATATTTCTTATTACCTCACACATCCGTATGAACTGAGCTGTTAAGAAATAAGGCTACAGAAATACATAAGCTTGTGCCAAATTCTCGTGTTTATCGAGAAAACATGCAGGCGAAATGTTCGTAGAATATGCTGCCATATGTTAATGTAATATAAAATTACTAAATTCTGAAGGATTTTGAGAAATTTGAAATAGACAAAAATACCTCTCCCAGACATCGGAAATCATTTAATAATTAAGCTAAGTATAAAATATGTACTATTATAATTACTACACAACATTAACAAGAAAACTTGCACTCTACTATCACATGGTTCGGCAATATACAAACTCGTGTAAATAGTTACACATCGACCGTATAATTTGCTATATAAAGTGCAGGTAAACTTGGATAGGGAATGGAGAAAAAAACTCTATCCATTTCTGAATTTTTGGAGTAGGCCTGTAAGAGAATTGTAGGTTCTTAAGAAGGGAGATAAACCTACTCATTTACAGTTCACCGATCTGACAGGTAGTAAACTAGTGTTGTGATCTAGCGCAGGGGTCTCCAAACTTTTCAGTCCGAGGGCCGCATTAACTATCGAATTTCAGTTCGGGGGCCAGTTTTTTCCAGGCATGTCTTTGATTTTTCTGGGCAAAGTTCCATCAGCTATCACCAACAAACGATTTTTCCTTGGACAAAAAGATCTCCGCGGGCCGGATGAGAGGACTTCGAGGGCCGCATCCGGCCCGCGGGCCGTAGTTTGGAGACCCCTGATCTAGCGGAACGAAAGGTTCTCCTGGTGTAATTATTAAAAATTGTTCTCACGACTAAAATCGATGTTTTGTGAGAATTTGTTTTAGTGTTGTTTTTTGTCAGCAATCGTTGGATAGAGCTCTTGAACAGTTAAAAATACTTGGATAATATTTAAGATATAAGATATCAATCATCCGAAAAGCTTTTTGTCTTCTGTCTTTAATATTTAATGTCTATAACCCTTGAAGTATTTGAACCATGTTAAATTAGTTTGATAGAGACAAAATGGTCATTAACCCTCAAAGTTATTTAATGATTTTTGACCTAAGAATATTGTATTTAAAAGAAGTGAAAATATATTTTTTGTTGCGAGCTTTATTATATATGTTACCATAATAGTCTAGCAAGTCTAAAAACATTTCTAATGCACCAGTAATTTTGTATTTCATGTTATAGGATCGGCCTTGGAAAACTGAGTATTGCTCATACTGATCGATAAAAAACCTATGGCATTTTTATAACATTACAAAATTCTAGTTACCAAAATGTATAAATAAAATATACGAGCCGACCCGCGGCGAATCATACGCCGCTTTTTAGTTGTTTTATCTTTTACTTTTCAGTAATTCATATTGTGAATTCGACAATACCAATGCTGCCGCTGAATATATTTGATTTAAACACTATCAGTAGCTCGTTAAGGACGATAACCCCCCCCCCACTCCCTCCTTTCCCCAACCCCTTCCCCCCGTGTAAGCAGCTTCCACTTAGTTACCTCCCCTAAGTTTAAAATCGTATCAAACTAAATTATCTGCCCCTAATAGCCGTCAATAAACACGGCTCTACGATTGAAAACATTAGCGTGAACCCCAGCTCTCCAGACCGTGTAGGGGTGGGGGTGGTACGGAGCGCGCTTACAGATTGGTGTTTTCTAAGATCTCCAAGAAGATATATATATATTTATATATATATATATATATATATATATATATATATATATATATATATATATATATATATATATATATATATTTAGGCTATATATATGTGCACTTGAGCGATGGCACGTCTGTGCAGATTATGTGGAAATATAATAAACATGTAAGTGTTATGGATATGTTTTGTGCATATGTTTATGTGCGCATATGAGTTGGTACGTGTGTTATAGCAACATTTTCAGCGATATTGGTTTCCAATATCTCATTTTTAAGTGTGAATGAGTTCTAATTCATCAGTTGTTTTTTCAAACCATGAAGGTAATGATTACGTTAAATTTTTAAACAACTGAAACATTTCAAAAAGCTTTAAAAGGTTTGACGCTTAACTGGACAGAACCAAGCTTGCAAGCATATTGTCTTTGATCGACGGTATCGATTAAGTGTTTTATATTATCGTCTATGTTAGGTTGTTAGGTTATTAAGCATTCTGTCATGTGAATTTAAACAAGGCAACAGCTAGTGTCACTCAATGTTTAGCGTTTGTTAAGGTCATAAAGTATCTGACAGCGTATTCGGATAGCTTGAAAGCTCTTGGTATCAGAGTAACTCAGCTATTTAACGTTTCGCATTACTTGTTATGAATTTTAGACAGGTAAGTCTCAATAGCCTTTGTATAGTAACACAATTTAAAAGTTTATAAGAACTCATGTACTATGGATTAATTTAAAAAGATGTAATGTAATGGCTAGTTAATAATTTTTAAATTAAAGTAGCCATTTCGACTTTTTAAAAACAGACCAGCACTTACTCTGCTAAACATTCTATACAAGTTAGTGATTTCAATAGAAAAGATTAGCTTATATATTGGTTTTCAATGTACATATTATTGATTTTTTATAATGCTCTTTTAGACAAATTTATCAACAACGAAAATGATTGAACTTTGGTCGATCATATGTGCTATTGTTTTAACAGGTAAGATTGTTTAGGTAACGGCAATATTTAATTATATATAATTGACTGGAAACATAATAGGTACAATGATATAGAAAGAGTTAGTTTTAGGGTTAGGATAAGAATATGTTAAAGAATATAGATGGATTAAGTTTATACTACATTGCAAATTTTTAATAAATAGAATCGGTAATGATCACACAAAAAAAACGAAAGGGGTGGCGCATTACCAATGGGGCTATTGAATATGAATTCATTCATTTTGAGAATAATTGAGACGTGGGTATGTATTAAGCCGAGGCGATGGTTAAAAAACAGGAAGTAATGTCCTAGACTTCTTAAAATTTAACTTATATAAATAAGTGATTTCCGTTTGAAAATTTATTTTTGTACTTTTAAATCGTATTCATTGTTTGCTAAATGCTGGTTGGAGAATATAGTTACAATGTTTTTATTTGTTTACAATATTTTAAAATTTTTTACAGAACTTTTAGCTCAAACTCTCACATTCACACGTGTTAACCCAGTCAACTTTAATGTTGTCCCTAATGTCCCGAGCACCACCGCCAACTCTCTTCTCCAATGCGCTATACACGTCTTTAAAGAAACCCCGTGCTTCAAGTATTTTTTCTACGACTCACTGACCAAGTCCTGCTCTACTGGGGAAGTCATGCCCTCCCTCAATATTCCCGCCCCACCCCAGTCAACCTACGACACCATCTATCAACTTGACAACCAAGTCCATCTACATCCCTTAAGTGATCCAACAACAATGTTGGTGGCTGATTCTACAGAAGTAAATTACACCCAAGCCGTAGGTATCTGTGCCAACAATTGCGCTCATTTGGCCATGTTCGATACTTTAGACAAGTTCAGTGCTTTGGTCGACATCGGTACATTCTACTGGGTAGGCTGTGCTGACTTTGATGAGGATGATCAGTTTCATTGGACATATGATGGTTCAGAAGTGCCCAGTGATTTCCTAAACGAAAATGTTGACTCTGAACAAAATGAGTTGTCCACGACAGGTGTAGGAAACTGCTGCGCCTACTGCCCGAATCACAAGAAACTTCACATCCGTTTGTGTAGTGAAATCAATCTCTACATTTGTGAAATTTTCAATAATTAAATATTTGATGTTCAATGAACATAATTCATAATCTAAAAAAAACACTACAAAATTAAATAAGATCGCGTTGCTATGAATCTGTGAATTTATACTAGACGTTTTCCCTGCGATTTTTACTGTTGTTTGAAACACAAAATATTTGAATAAAGTGGTAAGCACTAAAATTTTTTGTCTAACATTGTCTTGGCATTTTTCTACATTTTAATCAAGTAAATTGCAATTATGTTTTTGTATTTTTTTTATAAATAATAAACATCTGTGTTGTTATATTTAAAATATAAGTTACTGATTGTATTTAAATAGTTTAATATATATATATATATATATATATATATATATATATATATATATATATATATATATATATATATATATATATAAACATATATATTTATATTTTTTAGAAGTGAGATACTATCTCAAGTTTATCTTACACTTGATGTCATTCAACCTTCCTAAAATCTATATGACTCTGTAAAAAATATGTGTACTGCACAATATATAGCTAGTAACTTGCATATATTGTTTCCGAGAGCTACTTTTATCTGGTTTTTTAAACGTTTTGTGTTGA